ATTGTTATAATTATTCTTAAAATTTTGTGATTTGTAAAGAAACTATGGAGAAGAAAGGAGAGCAAGTATATATAGCTTTTGTTATATTAACCTTCTTCTTTATTCTTTCTGGTTCTCTTCACTTGTTCCTGTGGATTTGAGTTACCATCTGGAGTCATTTCCCTAGTGCAATAAAACTTTGTTCTCACCCGCCTCCTTTGTGCTATTTGCAGATATATACAGTATATACCTGTTGTTTTGTACAGTTGTTTTTAAAATCAGTTAAGAGAAGAAAGGAGAAATACTCGTTTATGCTATCTTTTATAATACATAATGACCTTTACTGATGCTCTTTGTTTTTCCATGTGGATTCATATACCATTGGAGTCACTTGCTTTCAACCTGAAGAACTTCCTTTAGTATTTCTTGTAAGGCGGATCTCCTAGCAACAAAATCTCTCAGTTTTTGTTTATCTGGAAATGTCTTTCTTTCACCTTCGTTTTTGAGAGATAGCTTTGCTGGATGTAGGAATCTTGGTTGACAGTTTTTTCTTTGTACACTTTGAGTATGTTATTTCACTGCTTCTAGTCTCCATCGTTTCTGATAAGAAGCCAGCTATTAATCTTCTTGGGGTTCCCTTGTAAGTGATGAGTCAGTTTTCTCTTGCTTCTTTCAATATTTTCTCATTGTCTTTGACTTTCAGCATGTCTTACTATGTATCTGTTTATGGATGGCTTTGTGTTTATCCTACTTGGAAGTCATTGAGCCTCCTGAATGTGTAGATTGATGTTTTTCAATACATTTGGAAAGTTTTTAGCCATTATTTCTTCAAGTATTTTTTCTGCTCCTTTCTCTTGCCCATCCTTCTGGTACTCCCGTTATGTATATGTTGGTGTGCTTAATGGTGTTCCATATTTCTCTGAGGCTTTTTCATTTTTCTTCGTTCTTTTTTCTCTCTGTTCTTCAGCTTGCATAATCTCTATTGATCTCTCTTCAAGTTTACTAATTCTTTCTTCTGACATTTAAATCTGTAGAGCCCATCTAGTAAATTTTTCATTTCAGTTATTGTAGTTTTCAACTCCATAACTTTTTTTTATTGTGGTAACATTGGTTTATAACATTATAAATCTCAGGCATACATCATTATATTTCGATTTCTATATAGATTACATCATGTTCACCACCCAAAGACTAATTACAGTCTATCACCACACACATGTGCCTAATCATCCCTTTCTCCTCCCTCCCCCCTTCTCCTCTGGTAACCACCAGTCCAATCTGTGTCTCTGTGTAATTGTTTTTTGTTGTTTTTATCTCCTACTTTTGAGTGAGATTATACGGTATTTGACTTTCTCCCTCTGACTTATTTCACTTAGCATAATACCCTCAACGTCTGTCCATGTTGTCACAAATGGTCAGATTTCATTGTTTTTTATGGCTGAGTAGTATTCCATTGTGTATATATGCTATATCTTCTTTATCCATTCATCCCTTGATGGGCATCTACGTTGCTTCCAGGTATTGGCTGTTGTGAATAATGCTTTGGATTGCTCCCAGGCAGCCATGAAGCACTGCAGCTTGCAAAGATGGCTTTTTTCCCTCTCCAGAAAGGAATTTCTGCTTCTTCCATCTCAGTCAGGACTGTCTCTTGTTGCAGGGGTTCTTTTTGTCCAGTTTTCGCTTCTCTCTCAGGAGTAATTGTTCCAAGAGTAGCTGTGAATTTGTTGTGTTCGTGGGAGGAGGTTAGTTCACAGTCCAGCTACACCGCCATCTTGACACCAACCACAACTCCATAACTTCTGTTTGGTTCTTTTTTATAAACTCTGTCTGTTTATTGATAACCTGTATTTGATATGAGATTGTCATCATACCTTCCTTTACTTCTTTAACTATGGTTTCCTTTAGTTCTCTGAATATAATTTTAGTGGCTGTTTTGAAGTCTTTGTTAAATCCAACATCTGGTCATTCTCACAGGCAATTTCTTTTGCTTTCTGTTTGTTTATTTTGGTGTATGTGGCATACTTCCCTGTTTGTTTGCATGTCTCATAATTTTTATTGGAATTGGACATTTTAGATATTTTAGAATAGATAATATATTGTAGCAACTCTGTGTACTGATCCCCACCTTCTCTTAGGCTTGTTATTGTTATGTGCCTGTCTGTTTAGTTACTGGCCGGATTGTTTTAGTGAAGGCTGTTTTTCCCCACAGTAGTGTTAAACTTCTGATATTGCACCACGTGGACTGAAGCCTTGGCGGGGCTCTTTGTCTCCTTGCCTGGCCATACCCAGCTGTTAAGCTCCACTTAGTGCCGGTTGATTTTTCTATTATTTTCAACAATGACTTGGGGCATAAGTTGCTCTACAGACTAATCCAATCAAATGTGTGTTTCTTTGAAGGGATAGTTCCCAAGGTCAGTGTTTGAGATTTGTTCTGACCCTAGGAAGTCTCTTCCCTGCTGTCTCTTTTCCCATTTCCCTCCTGAAAACTAGCCAGCTTACAGTTTAGCCTATATCTCCAATGAACTACCAATTTATTTTCAGCTCCCTTTCACCATCATCTCTACTGTTTTTAAGAGTGCCCTTGAACTCGAACTTCTCCATGTTCTGTTGCAAATGAAGTCATTTCCTTTGGGAGGATATTAGGAGCTATCTGTTTTAAGCCTTGCTTCTTTTCCCAGGCAAAATCTCTGTGCCATGGCTCTGGAGCTGGGATTAGGACATGGCAACTTCTCTCTGAATGACACCCCTCCTTTGGCAGCTGAGCATTCGGTATAGGGGGGCACAGTAGTCTCATGCCTTTTCAGCTTGCCTCTCCTGGCGTGAAACAACCAGCTTACAGGCCAGGGTGAGGGTGATTGGGGTCCCAGTTGTCTCAGTGGCACCATGCCAAAGGTAGAGCTCTGTCTCAGGAGTGCAGGCTAGGCAGAAGAAGGGAGCCCCCACTTCTTGGCTGTACTCGCCCACAATTTAGCCTTGGCAACAGATGGCCCAGGGAATGATGAGAAATGCTGATGTCTTGCCACTTCCAAAAAGGTAGTCCTCTGACTGGGAGCTATAGGAGGAGAGAGCCCTGTGTTCTTGGCTGCAGCAGTCTGAAGTGGAGTCTCTACCTCACTGAGTAGATCCTGATTTTCGTTTGCTATTGTTTTTCTTTTGCCTGGAGGACTCCCTTTAACATTTCTTGTATTGGAGGTCTGTTGATAATGAATCTTTTGACTTTTGCATGTCTGAAAGAGTTTATTTCACCTTCATTTTTGAAAGATATTTTTGCTAGGTATAGAATTCTAGGTTGGAAGGTTTTTTCTTTGAGTACTTTAAAGATGCTGCTCCACTGTCTTTTTGCTTGCGTTGTTTCCAACAAGAAATGTACTGTTGTTCTTAACTTGGTTCCTCTCTAAGTCATGGGTCTTTTTTCCTTCTGGCTGGGAAAAGAACCACGTGAAAGCGTTAGAGTTAATGGCACCTGGCATTCTCAAAAAGCAGAAATAGTGCCTGTTCCCAACAGTTAGACCTGAAAAACCTCAAAACTGATGGGGCATTGGCTGGGTACAAAGAAGAGTCTTGCCTCAGGAGTGGGCAATAATGAGCCCCCGGCCAAAATCTCCTTTGAAGATTTTCTCTTTGTCTCTGATTTTAAGCAATTTTGATTATAATGAGCATTGGTATAATTTTTTTTCATGTTTCTCATGCTTAGGGTTTGTTGAACTTCTTGAATCTCTGGGTTTCAAATTTGAATCTCAAATTTGGAAAAATTTGAGCCATTATTTCTTAAAATATTTTTTCTTCCCTTCCTTCCTTTTTGAACTCCAATTACACACGTATTAGGTTGCTTGAAGTCATTTCACAGCTCACTGATGATCTGTTAGTTTTTTTTAATTCTCTTTTCTCTGTGTTTCATTTTGTGCAGTTCCTGTTGCTGTCTTTGAATTCTCTATTTTTGTTTACAATGTCGGATCTGTTGTTACCAGTGTGTTTTTCATCTCACACATTGTAGTTTTTGTCTCTAGAAGTTTGATTTGAGTCTTTTTTTAATATCTTCCATGTTTCCACATAACTTTTGAACATGTGGAATATGATTATAATAACTATTTAATGTCCTTATCCTCTTAACTCTGACATCTTTATCGGTTCGGTCATCTTCAACTGATTGCTTTATCTCCTCTGAATAGGTTGTATTCCTGCTTCTTTCCAGGCCTTTTAATTTTTTATTGGATCTCACACATTGTGAAATTCACCTTGTCTGATGCTGGATATTTTTGTATTCTTATAAATATTTTGGAGATTTATTCTAGGATGCAGTTAAGTTACTTGAAAATAATTTGATCCTTTTTGGGTCTTGCTTTTAAGATTTGTTAGACAGGATTTGAGCAGATTTCAGTCTAGGGCTAATAATTGCCCACTGCTGAGGCAAGACTCTTCTGTGTACCCTGCCAATGCCCCATCACTTTTGAGGTTTTCCTCATCTTGCTCTTGGGCACAGGCACTATTTCTGCCCTTCAAGAATGCCAGGTGCCACTATTGCTAGTCCTTTCAGGTGGTTGTTTTTCCAGCTTTGAGTAATTTCCTCACACACATGGCCAGTCACTACTCAGCTGAATGCTTACAGAGGACCATCTGAAGATCTGCAGAGTTCTCTCTGTATTTCTCTCTTCTTCAGTGCCCTGTCCTACAAACTCTAGCTGCCGTGCCTCCCTAGACTCTGCTCTGTCTCCTCAACTCAGGGAGTCCACAAGCTTTGTGTGGATTCCCACTCCCTGCACTATGACCTGGAAGCGCTCTCAAGGCAGTGAGCTGGACAGTTGTAGGGCTCGCCCTACAAATTCTCACTTCTCAGGGATCGCTGTACTTTGTTGCCTGATGTTTGGTATCTTTCAAACCATTGTTTCATATGTTTTTTCTGTTTTTTGGTTGTGTTGGGTGTTAGGGTAAATCCGGTCCCTGTTACTTCATAATGGTCAGAAGCAGAAGTTGACACATTTCAGCTAATTTTTAATCAATTTTTGTTTTATTTTTTACTTCAGGAGACTACCCACAAAGCCAGTGTTCTATTGAGTGGTAAAATTAAGGTAGAAAATGGTCAGATTTATCAAAGTCCAGTTACCTGGCTCAAGGATCTTCTAGGAGGCGACAGTTATGTGACCTGGAATTATGCTTGGAGTAAGGTGGGTCATTCTTAAGTTTACCCCTAGCTTCATATTCAAATGGAAAGGTACATACTTTTTTGGTGATAAAACTGTTTTCTTTTTTAAGAAATCTGAGGGCCGGCCCCGTGGCTTAGCGGTTAAGTGCACGTGCTCTGCTACTGGCAGCCTGGGTTCGGATCCCGGGCGCGCACCAACGCACTGCTTCTCCGGCCATGCTGAGGCTGCGTCCCACGTACAGCAACTAGAAGGATGTGCAACTATGACATACAACTATCTACTGGGGCTTTGGGGAAAAAAAGGAGGAGGACTGGCAATAGATGTTAGCTCAGAGCCGGTCTTCCTCAGCAAAAAGAGGAGGATTAGCATGGATGTTAGCTCAGGGCTGATCTTCCTCACAAAGAAAAAAAAAATTTTTTTTTAAATTAAAAGAAATCTGAAAGTTCTTCGAGTAAGTTTTTGTCTTCATGTGTCCTTTCTGCAGCATGCTACATGCTTTCTCCCACAACTGTTTGCCAGAATTTCCCAGGGGCAGGGTTGCACAGCTGACTGAGCCTCTCCTTCCTTGTTCCTCACCTAGTCTCAGAAATTTTAATGTCCTCAATCTTCCCCTGTTATCCCTCTAAGTGATTTCAGGTCTTTGTGACTCCATATAGAAAATTGGGGACCATTGGTATATTGATAATTTAGTTAATGTGTTATTAGTATTCTGATGAAATAAAGAAAAATCTTCCCCTAAAGACAAAAGGAATGAGCAAGGGGCCTAAGACACACAGACAGTATGGTGCACTTTTATGTTTGAATGTAGTCTTATCCGTGAATTGCTAGCTCCCTAAAGAAGTATTTCTTTTCGTTCAGACTTGCCAGACTTAGTAGCCTACCCCTCAGTTGTGTCTTCTGAGTTAAGAGCCTCATTTAACCATCAATTTGAAGACTGTTAATGACTGACACCTTGATCACAGACTAGTGATCAGTCACCTCCAGATGTCTGTGGCACCACTTCAGGGAACTGTCTTACAGTGGTTCACCCATCGGATATCCGCCATTACTGTTTCACAGAAGTGCAGATACCGTCAGCCTCCACCGCCGTTACAGTAAGCCTCAGTGCACCAGAAGGAGAAGGCACAGTTTCCTCTCGCCTTTTTTGTCCAGCTCAACTCTACCCACCCTCCCTTCTGGGTCTGTGTCCGTAAATTCTGCATTCTGATCTGCCAGACCTTTGTAGCAGGTGCTTCCAGAACTGTGTTTCAGTTCCTTCACTTACATCAACAAATTTTGGATTTTGTCTGCTTTGTATCTCTCTGTCCTTCCCCCCCTCCCCACCCCGAGGTTTTTTTTTAATTTCCTACCCCTGGAGTCAGCAGGCCATCTGCTTTTAATTCACCCTGCCCAGTCCTTTCCATGGATTCATAAATCATATTTGCATGTTAGTAGTTAACATTTTACCCATGGAAATCCCTTTTTATTACAAATTTTCTTAAACTTACAGTAGATTGTATCATTTTGTTGAAACTGATTCTATGCTCACAGCATGAATATGGTACTGATTGCTGTAGCTTAGGTTCTCTTGAGCCTGACATGCCTCTGCTGCAGTGTGCCCAGGGATGACTCAGTTCTCCCACTCGTTTTCTCTGTTGGAACTACTGCATTTCTCACTTTTGAGTAGCTGGCTGTGACATCATTTGGCCCTCACTCTGTGCTTGTGCCTCAACTACATATCATGTTGCCTCTGGTCTTTTCTCATCAGCCATGTCAATTAGAGTCATATTGTTTAACACCTATGTGATACTGAAGCCAAATGCAAATTTGGGCACTAAAATTAGGGCAGTTCTTGGATATAAGATATTCATACAGATAATCGGAGCAGGCCTAGATATTTTTTTTTCAATTATCCTAAAAACAGAATTTTAAAAATTACTATAGGGCACTCATGTACTTCTAGTCACTACCCCAGGCTGAAAAACACTACCCCAGTAAGTTACTTCACAATATTTAAAAGCCTCTTTTAAAATTTACCACAGAAACCTCTGCCTCTTATCTTGGGGTAACTCCTAAATTCACACTTGTTGATGAAAGGAGCTTTTTGCTACACTGGTAAATGTGAACATTTCTACTGACTAGTTCTGAGAATGGTGGTGGGACTATGGGGCCAGGAGTGGTTGGTTGTCAGGCAAGTAAAGCCGGAAAACTAGGCCTTGTCCTGCATCAGACAGGGTGACAGAGCCACTACACGCAGAGGTGACTCATACTTCCTACTCAGGCAGCCGGGCTGCTCTACAGCCTTGCTGAGGGAATCCTGATGCTTATGCCCACCGGTCCTCATTCATGCCTCTCACTGCCGCAGTCTCCTAGCTGTTAGGCATCATCCTGATGTGCAAGAGTGGCCTCCGGGTGGGAGACAGGAGACCAAGCTGGTTCCTGGTTCCACTCTTGGTAAGTTGTGTGATCTGGGCAATGGTTTTCAATCTTGCTTACACATTAGAATCACTTGGGGAGCTTTTGAAAACTACCAGTGCTTAGTGGACCCCAGCCCCATAGCTTCTGATCTAATAGTCTGGGTTGGAGACCAGGTGGCAGTAGCTTTCCAGGTGGCTCGAATGTACATCCTGGCGTGAGAATCACTGATCTAGGTCAAGTTATTTAAGCTTTCTGAATCTCAATTTTCTTATGTATAAAATAAGTAGTAGTGCTAAATGGTCTCTAAAGATCCTTCCAACTTGGAGATTCTAGACTTGCATAGCACTGTGGTTTATAAGGCACTTTTGCATATATTCTTTCACAACAACCCCATTAGGTGAGAAAGTCAACTATTATCTCTGTTTATGGACATGAAGACAGGGCTGCAGAAGGTTAAGTGACCTGATTAGCCTAAGGCCAGTGAATGCCAGAACCAGGACTAGACCCTGATCTTCTGATTCCCCATACACTATTTTTCACATTTACAACAATGACACAAGGGAGGCCCACATTCCTTCCATTGGAAGCAGGTTGCCCTTAACTCAAAAGAGCACACAGTATCCTCCAGCTGCCTTTATGGATTTATACAAAGCATCATTCTTGTGCAGCAAAAATTACCCACTTCCACAGGAAAAAAAGGCTTTGTGTGATATAGTTGCAGTATGAAAATTATAAGAGGGACAGTGATAGTTCAGTTTTGTGAATGCACAGGACTTATGCAGATGAAAAGTAGACTGCCATTTTGGATGGTGGCTCAAAGAGCACTGACAGACTCTTATGCAAACATACTTTCCATCTGGATGCCTTAATGTCTGAATTTCCACACTTATAAATTCACTCCTTTGTATTTAATATTGACTTTTCTTGTAGTCCCTGCCTCACTGTGCACAGTTTCTAAAAAAAAAATTCATCTCACCACCGTGATTAGAAATATCAAGATATGGGAAGGTTGAGGTAGGAGTATAGAAAGTGATGGAAATTGTTGATCTGGACAAACAGCGAGCCTCATTCAATCAGATAATCACACTCCCAATGTGTCTTAAACTTCTTGTGAGCCCAGCTTCTACTCAGGAAGACCTGGTTGGAGATGGGGCCCTTTTAAAATACAAATATCAAGGAGGTATGAATCCTGAAGACATAAATAATGTGAAAGGCCTACCGCCCTTCTCTTGCCTCTGGCTGCATGGGGTGTCTGGGGGAAGTGGGGGAGGAGAGCTCTAGGGTGGGAATGGGGAGGAGGTGGGTAGTGTGAAGATGAACTTCATTTGCATCATTTCCCCAGATCAGCTCTTCCAAAGCAGTTATTACACTTTGATACTACTTTCTGTCTTATTTTCTGAATTCCTAGAGAAATTTTTCATTTGAGAAAGTTTTATTTTTTTTAGCCTTCAAGATGTGTCTTTGTGTTACAATAAACTTAAAAGAAAACCTACAGTTTTCTTTTGTTTCTTTGCCTTTTTTTCCCCCTGAGATCAAAAACAATTATACTTTCCTCTTCCTTCCTCTTGGGGTGGTGGAAATTTGCTAAGACTTGCTTCTTAGAACTTGAAGTGGAATTAAAGCAGTCATTCGATCATCCATGAGCAGATTCCCATTAGTCAGTACCAGTGAGTGGTTCTTCTGAAGATATGAAAAATAGACTGATACTTTTTTAAAATAAAATACTTTCAAGTATTTTGATACTTTCAAGCCCTAGCAGGGGAACAGATTCCTGGACACCTCTTTAATATTCAAAGGCAGGTTATGTTTTATACTTTTTCTTGATATGTTAGTACATATGGTATAGAGAAACATTTATTACTGCAATTATTGACAATTGACACTGTACCTTATTTCTTCAGAGACCTCACCAAAATAAAGTTAATTGATCATTTCACTCATCTCATTAACTACATTTCCAGAACAGTGGCTGGTGGAATCATCCATCTACCCAAAACACACACATGCACGCCTACCCCCCACACCCCACTTCTTCTGTAAGTGTGCTATTAGGGAATGAGCATAGACTGATTTCTGAGGAATACTGGCCTTATGCTGTAGGAGCCTCAGGGGATGCATCAGTGGCCTTAGAATGAAGCGCCCCTGCCGTGCTACCCTTTAGCAAAGCAAGGAGACAAGGACCTGCAGATACCCTCACAGAACGCACCTCACCCTGAGCTCCAGCTCTTGCTTGTTCTCGTCTGGGGAGGCTGGCATCCCATCAGCTACCCTTCCTCAGAAGGAGTTTTGGATGGTGACGTTGCTGAAATCACTGGAGGCTGTGTGGTCCAAGACCCTAGGAAGCCAGCCTGCAGCTCTTCCTGCGTGCCTGTGGCAGAGCAGCGTGTGAGCTAGATTTGGATCCAGTGAGATTGAGTTCAGGATTCCGAGTTTGAATTATAGGTAAATGTGACCACTTTTGGCTCTTATGCTTTAGCTGACTGGAGCACAGGCACTATTATGAAACAGACATGGACAGTTGCCAGAAGTGACCTAGTACCTGTTCATTTTGAGGTCTATTCATTATTATCCTTGTTCAATAAATCACTCCTACCTTGTGGAAAATAGATTTTTAAGTCAGTGGATTTTCTTAAAGCCGTGTTCTTTGTACGTCTGAATTACCCCTAGTGGCATGTGTAAGACCTTGGGGGGCCTTATGACCGCTGAGGCTACTGAGGTGCAGTTTACCACCTTATATTACCCAGAAATAACCGATAAAAATGTACTTTAAATCTCAGACGTAGGCAAAAACATACTGAGCCTGCACATTGATGTGTGTGTAAAGTGTATTGGATATTGTCAGGGCATAACATGAACAAAATCCATTGTTGCTAACTGTTAGTTGTTTAGAGAACCGAGAGCATTTGGGGGCCTCGCCTCTCCTTCTTCCGTGGCTGGTGAGAAGGGGTTAGCACACTTGAGTATTCCAGGTCTGTTCCATTTCCATTACCAATCTTTGTTTGGTCATGGGATTGAGCCCAAAGGGCACCTGAACTTTCCAGATTCCCTAGGCCTTCCTCACCCTGTTCAGTAACAGGCATTTATGGAGCACTCAGGGTGTGCTAGACAGTATGCCAAATGCTCTTCGTATATTATCTCTTATAAGCCTCACAACAGCTTAATAAGCTGGAGGTACTTGTTTTATAAATGCACAAACCGAGACTCAGAGAATTTAAGGATCTTGCTTAAGAGCAGGGATTTTGCAGTTTTTTCCCCAGTATCGTCAGGCACTATGTGAAGTGCTAGAGTATAAAAATGAATGTGAGGGGCCGGCCCAGTGGCGCAAGCGGTTAAGTGCGCACACTCCGCTGTGGCGGCCCGGGGTTCGCCGGTTCAGATCCCAGGCACGCATGGATGCACTGCTTGGCAAGCCATGCTGTGGCGGCGTCGCATATAAAGTGGAGGAGGAGGGCATGGATGTTAGCCCAGAGCCAGTCGTCCTCAGCAAAAAAAGAGGAGGATTGGCAGATGTCAGCACAGGGCTGATCTCACCAAAAAAAAAAAAAAAAAAGTAATACAGACCCTGTTTTCAAGGAGCTTATAGTTTAATGGAAACAGACACGTTAACACATAATTTTCTTTAAATGAGATAAGTGCGTTGACAGAAATATGAGCACAGAAGTTGTGGGAGCCTAGAGGAGCATCATCACTTGAGCTTAGAGGTCATAGGAAGGCATCCTGGGAGAAGGGATGTTCAAGATGAGAATTGATGGTTTAGCTACAGTGAACCTAGCTTCTGGGGGCATATTATGAGATTGCCCTAGAACTAAGAGGGGAGAACCCAAAGACCCTTGGGCCCAGAACATTTCTGGCAGGTGTTTGTCAGTCTGCCTTAGCCCAGCCCATTCACATGTAGATATTTCTAGGCTCTGTCCTTTTGGGCTGGTAAACAATAGCTGAGTTCACAAATAAACCAAAAAAACCCTGAAAACGTGGATGCATAGACCTGAAATAATATTAATCTAATCAGTTAAGTATCTGATTTTTTGAAAAGTACCATTACTTATATGGCTTAATTTTATTAATGCAACATTAATTTTTTTAAGTTATAAAGTAGCAGGTGTGAATTAGTGGTTGTTGAATAAATAAATGGATGAGAGAATTAACAATATACAACAGGAGTCAACCAATTTTTTCTGTAAAGGACCAGAAAATAAATATTTCAGGCTTTATGAGCGAACAGTCTCTGTCACAACTACTCAATCCTTTCATAGCACAAAAGCAGCCATAGGTGTTAAGTGAATGAATGGATATCACTGTGTTCTAATAAAACTTAATTTACAAAAAAGGTCGCAGCCCAGATTTGGCTGTGGGCTGTAGTTTGCCAATCCATAATATACAACAATTGATACTTTACCAAAGTTACAACTTGCAGGAGATAGGTGCATTTGTTTCTTATAAAATGTATGATTTTAAATTCTGTGCTTAATTATGTGCAGGTAACATATCTGGGGAAGGAGCTTTTACAGTATGTTTCTGAGGAAGTGCCCATACCCGCAGAACCAAACTCGGTACCTCAGCAACAGCAACCTTGTCTTCCAGGTATGTGCAGACCAACACTCATTTCTTAGTTGTGGGAAGAACACACCCAAACCTACTGAGAAAGTGGTCCTTTTTTTTTTTTGTCTTTTTTTTTTTCATTTAGGTGAAATTTACATACCATTCAAGTAACCATTTTAAAAAGAACAATTCAGTGGCATTTAGTACATTCACTGTTGTGCAAACACCACCTCTATGTAGTTTCAAAACACTTGCATCACCCCAAAAAGAAACCCTGTACCCATTCAGCAGTTCCTCCCCATTCTCTGCTCCCCCCAGTTCCTGGGAACTACCAGTCTGCTTTCTGTCTGTATGGATTAAATATAAATGGAATCGTACAATATATGGCCCTTAGTTTCTGGCATTTTTCACTTAGCATAATGCTTTCAAGGATCATCCACATTGTAACATCTATCAGTACTCCATTCCTTTTTATGGCTGAATAATATTCCATTATATATATATATACCACAATTTGTTTATTCATTCGTCCTTTGATGGACATTTGGGTTGTTTCCACTTTTTGGCTCTTCGGAATAAGTGCTGCTATGGACACATGTATACATATATTTGTTTGGGTACGTATTTTCAGTTCCTTTGGGTATATACCTAGGAGTGGAATTGTATCATATAGTAATTCTGTGTTTAACTTTTTGAGGAACAGCCTGTTTTCCACAGCAGCTGAACCAAATGTCATAAGGAAAAAATACCATTGATTTGGCGTATTGGGTTCGTTTTCCATATTTTCTAAAAACAGGCACTAAAATCTTTGTTTATTATTAAACTCTGTGCTTTTTAAATTATTAAAATCTATGCTTGATCTGATGGAATAAATCTTAGTCTGAGAAAACTGAAGAGAATGTAGTCTTCACCAATTAGCAGCAGATTTTGAAATGATCTGGAAAGAGGCCACACACGTTCCTGAAAAACAGACATAACTGGTGTCACGTTACCCTTCTCTGCTGCTGCACCCCCTCTTTTTTCCCCAGTGTCCCTGTCTCAGACTAGTTGGGGACAGTGTAAGCAGACAGGAGGTATAAAACAGAAAATGGTAATTCTGTGATAACCAGAGTCAAGGACCAAACAGAAATTACTATTGCCAAGCCCCTAACGAGGGGCTCCCCAGGGTTATTCCTTTCCTTATAACAAACCCCAATAATTCAAAATACTTTCCTATTCTAACTCTATAACGAATCCATCCTGACTTCTCAGGGTCCTTCTTTTGTCTCAAAAACTGGTTTCAGAATAGGATATATTTTCCCCAGTTTTCCGAAGACAGCCTCAAAAGTGCTTTTTGTCATTTTGGGGAAACAGATCAGGTAAAACAACAATTGTGGAGAAGTTAAAGGGCTTAAGAAACGGGAAGGGGTTCTTGTAGTAATTCATGGTCTTTTGTTCCTAACCCTGACTGCAGATCTACCTAATTAAATCTTGGAGTAGGACCCAGGAACCTGAATCTGTAAAAGTGATTCTTATGCTGCTAGCCTGACTAGAGACTGTGAAGGACTGGTAGTATCTGATTTCTTATGCAGAGAATAATTTGAAAATTCTTGCTATTCAGCCTTTCACTTTGATTCCAAAGAACACCGCTCTTGTGCACGTGCGCGCATGCTCCCTCCCCCCACACACACACTTGAAGTAAAGCCACGCAAATCCTTTCTCCTCCTAGTTTCTAACCTCAAGAGTGAAAGCAGAAATATAGGTTCTTCCTTACAGTGCAAAGGTTACCCACTTCTCAGATTCTCTAGTTCTAGGCAGGGATGTCCAGTTCAGCCACGCACCTCCTTCCTTAGGGGGCTCACCATTCCCCTGCTAAGTGAGCATGAGATGAAAATGGGATCTGAGCTACTTCTGTTGCCTGTAATATAAAGTTTCTTGTTAACTAATTTCTTTCAAGAAATCCTGAATTTGCTTTCCTTTAGATATTTCAGAAAATGTTAATGCTAATTTGAGAACCGTGGAGGTTGCCAGTATGCCAGCCAACTTCTTGTTACCTTGATCTGGGCCTTGGAATCTACAGGCAGGTTCCTGCAGGCATCTTATAGGCTGCTGTTGGAGTTTTGTTTGAACCTCCTTGATTTAGGAATCTTTTGTACCTGGTTTTGTGGTACTGTTACCGCCCAGTGTGGGGCCTTCTGCTTGCCGCAAGACATGCCAATAGTCAAGAGGCAAGGTGGTAGGAGAAAAAGGACTTTTTTATTACAGCTTGCTAGCAAGAGGGAAAATGGCTGACTCATATCCAAAAGAACCATCTTAAGGGGGCACAAAATCTTATAGCAGTTATATAGGCCATTGGGTTATAGGGGAGGGGGTTAGGAATGTTGACCTTCTGGTGTTACAGACTGGGAGTGCCACACCAGATCTTTCATTTTTCACTGATGATGGCTATCAGCATAGACTCTCTGTTCGGGGGTCATCACATTCCTAAGGAACTCAGAAAAACAAAGTTATCATCTTATCGTAGCTGGGAGGTACATGCACAAGCAGGGGTTTAGATCTCTTGTAGGGTGCATATCCAGCTGGGTTAGTTTGACTAAGGTCATTCAAAGTTACAATAGAGTTTTTCTTTTCTATGGCTTCCCTTATGTCAACCTTGTCTTGAGCCGGTATCAGTACCTGATAGAAATCCTAAGACCTGGCAAGTTAGAAAAATGTAAACTCTCTAACTCTGTTACAAGCAAAGCATTCAGGAGAGAAACTTTTTCTGTCTTTGGCATATCAAAATGTGGCCACGGAAGGCATGACTCTGATACTGCAGACAGTAACGTCTAAAGGAAAACAAGTCCATGTGGGTTTCATCAGCCTACTTCAGATCACAGACATGGTCTGTTCACTTAGGCTTTTTGATGATCACACTCTTCAGAATAGTGTTTTCGGGAATAAGGGAACTAGGAAGAGCTATTTACATTTCCCCGTAAGGAGGATGCCTGTGCGCCAGGCTTGACTGGGCAGTTCCTAATCCAGCAGAGTTGTTAGGAGCACTCCCTTTCACTTGCAGACATGCCTTGTTTGGATGACCCAGTACAGGAGCCAAGCAAATAGGTCTTGGAAAGAATGAAATTTGGACAAGGTGAAAAAAAAAGAAACTTTGCAGTTTCATTTACTTTTATGAGAAGTGTATAGATTCTAACATACTGTTGTGCAAATAGCTGGTCAAATCTTACGTATTTACAAATATTACGTAATCTTACTCTATATTATAAGTAATTGCTGGCTACCTAATCCTAATCCCCTGAGAGAATGAGAAGATCTTTGAGTTTAGAGAGACTTTTATGGGCTCTTGCTTCCTATTATTTTCCTTATTGCCTGGCACACAGTAGCTTCCCAGTAAATGTTCACTGAATAATGTTCCTTGACTAAACGAATGAGTGACGAAGCATGAATATGATCCAAAGGACTGCTGTTTTAAAACTGGATTGTCCTGTGACTGACTGTCTTAGTAGGTGGGCATGACTAGACCTCACAGGCTGTAATGGAGTTTGTGATGAAGAATTCAACAAATGGTGAAGGGGATTTTGGTTAATTAGTAATATCTCCTTTATCTGATTTTCTACTTCTAATTATGAGATATAAAAGTGACGGCCCTTCACATTTTCTCAACCAGAAGTTTAAAAGAGAACTCTCTCTCCCTCCCCCTCCTCTTCCTCTCCCTCTTTATGAGAAATCGTGAAGAGATCTGTTTAGCTTTGTTAACCATTTCCTGAACTTCTTTAATCCTATGATATCTATTAACATTTCATGGGAGAATTGCAGCAACCTCAATATCCAATTTATTTCTACATATCATTTTGGATTCATGGTACTAAGAAAATCCTAAGTCACGAAGATAAGTGATGAAAGTTTTTAATCTTACCATTTTAAGGCTTTCTTCAGTGAATCAGAGATGACAGAAGAGCCTTATTCTGAGTTCTACACAAAAACTAGTGAAATTGATAAGACAATGTATTGATGGACTCCAGAGTCTTATAATGTGGTATATTGACACATTTAAGGGTATATGTTGTTTCTAATTAAAGATTTTAAACATACAAACGCTGACCTTTAAAAATGAAATTCTGTTGGTGAAACCCCTGAAGTATCGATCTCTGAAGTCCTTTCAAGCTTTAAAATTTAATGAGTCTGTGGTGCATTTTCCCTTGAAGTTTCACAGTTTCCTCCCAAGCCTGCCTCCTCTCTGCCTCCTTGGCTGTCGTTCCTCTTCTGGGTTATTGAGGAAATCTTCATTGATATTTCAGTATAAATTGGAAGGGGAAAAAATGAACATTCTCGGACTTCTATATAATTTGTGATCACTGTGTGCAGACATATAACATTTTTCACAAAGTTCTTTAAAAAAACATTCTGTTAAGATAGATTACATTTCATTATTTCACTGGAAAACCAATTTTATATATTTATGCCCCCTGTCGCCATAGACACGCAAAACAGATTAAGCTAAATGTATTCATCTAAGCAAAAAGAAAAGAGTATCTCCTAAAGTTTTTCTTTTCCCAAGCCATCATTTAATGTATACTAATTATGTAATTTTCTTTCATGGGGACCTAACATCACTTGTTCATTTGAAAGTAGAACATGGTTTTTAAGGAAAAAATATTCTTTTTTATTTTAAATAAAAATGGTCCTTGACCTGCTGATAATCTCTTGTAAATAAGTGACTTTAAAGAAAGAGTTTTCTTCATTTCAGCACTGTTGTGCTTCATTTCTCTGTAAAAGTGTACGTAATAGAGCACAGACATTCACAGGTGCTTTTGTTTTATGTGGTTAAGAACGTCTTAAACCTTAAACACCCCAGGAAGATGGGTGCCTGATAACAGAGCCAAAGGTGTTTATTTCAGCTCCTACAACTGTTGATTCTTTTTCTCTACTTTAATCATAATTTTTTTCATCCTGGTGTCACCATTATCACTCTTTTGACCTAATTCTTAAAGTGGAGGATACATCTACTGATAGAGGACAAAAGAGAAGAAAACTGATTGTCTGTTGAGCACCTGCCACGTGCCAGGCCCTTTGCCAGATTATTTTATGTACCTTAGGCCACATAGGAGCCGCTTTCTAGTAGAACTGCGGTGTTATGTCTGTACAACAAAGGAACAAAAAACTTGCACATTTTACAAATCAAGTACTTCAAACCTAGTTCAGCTTAAGGAAGCACCTATTAAATTTCAGTTTTCCCCGAGGAATGGGGGCTTAAATAGTTTTAAACTTCTAAATGTAATGTTCAAGTCTATTTCTTGATTCCAATATAGTTTTCACAGATGGCTCTTGATCTTACCAATGTAAATCTATATCAAATGATTACTTTAGCTTTAAATATAAAATCATATAATATTCCACCTCCATATTTGTCTTTTAGGGTCTATTTATTTTAAAAAGGCATTGAACTTTGTATTTAAGTGGCCATAATAGTATTGTTTTCCCCAGCGTGAGAGCAGATGTTTTGGGGGGTTTTTTTGTTTTTTTTGCTAAGGAAGATTTGCCCTGAGCTAACATCCATGCCAGGCTTCCTCTACTTTTTAGTACGTGGGCCGCGAGCACAGCTAACAGAGTGGTGTAGATCTGCACCCAGAACCAAACCCCGGCCACCGAAGTGGAGCGAGCCAAACTTAACCACTAGGCCACTGGGGCTGGTCCCAAGCAGATGTATTCTTATAATTTGTTGAAATAATTCTTAATCATTTTGCCCTTGATTGGAATTATATTTCTGATTCATAATGAGAATGTATACATAAGTATGTTTGTTCATTTCCATTTGTAACTAGAGTAAGCAAAGTTTCATTCCATAATCCTAATGAAATGTAGAATGCTTAGTTTGTAAGAATAAGTTCTGGAAGTCTGAGCTCAGTAATTTTAGAGTTAGAAGTGAACCTTATATATCAACTAGATTCGGGCCTGTTTTGCAGATGATGAAACTGAGAACCAGAGAGGTAAAATGGGTTAAATGAAAAGAGTTCATGGATTAATTATGTTTCAGAAGTGAACATTAGTTAAAATAACAAATCTGATTATTTTTGCTTTTGATCTATTAAGGGAAATTTTTTTTAAAAAAGTTAGAGGAAAAAGCATAAAAGTTAAAATTATTTTTAACTTAATTAATTAGCTTGTCATTTTGAAGTGCTAATTTGGGTAACTAGATAACATGAAAAGTTTCATGAGCCCATTCCTTTGCCTCATAATGAATCTAGCAATTCAGTTGAAGTAGACTTGTGCAGAATATCTAATATTTGGTGGTGTTACTTGAGGAAGATTTATTCCTCCCTGCCAGTCATGCATGAGCAGAATGGTTCCTTAGCTGTGCCGTTCTTTCGGGGATGAGGGACAAGAAGAGCCAAATGTCCACATGAATGGCTGTTTGTGGGTTCTCCTGGGCTGCTGTGTGTGCTGCTGTTTAGAAATTTTGTTTACAGATCTCAGAGGCCACTGACTTTGCCTAGGGACTCTACCCGAAGTAAAAGTGAAAATTAAAGGGAGAGGGCTCTACCCCCCAGTGGGGTAGATTGGTGGTCTTCACAGTTCCTGATGAAAAAATTATTTGTCACAAAGAAGCTACAAGTAGATGTCCTTGGTTATCGTTGCAAAGATGATAATTATTTGATCAAAGAAGGGATTAAATTACTCCTTCTCGGGGTTCTAATTTCTCGCTTCCTCATTCACAAAAATTCTTTCAGTGATAGAACTTCTTTTTTTAATACTTGTTTCTTAGGTGTCTAGCCCCTCAAGCTGAACTAGGCTTCTGAGCACCAATCCACTTAATCCTCCCCACAGTGAGGACTGGGAAAAATGAGTAGTAGATATTGTCAGGCTGACCATGTGTTTGTTCCTGGGATTACAGAGCTTTACCTGTCAGTTTTTATTGCTACAGATCACAACAGCCTAGTTCTTCTAAGATCTTTCCATGAAACAGTGACGATTACTAATGGACCCAAAGTGAAATCTTCTCCTATTAGGGATATTTAATTTAATCATTAAGCAAACAATTTTTGAAATATTACATACTGGCATTCATGCTTTCCTGTATAGAGATATATAGATACAGAGCAAAGGTTTGCTCAGCTTCACAAAAGGAAGAAAAGTTAGTGACGTTCGTTGGTTCTAACTTTGCTGAATGTTGCTTGCCTGGTATGATTCAAATAACTTTTACGTAATAAAATAATGTAGCAATTGTATAGTTAACACTTAATTCAAACTGGGATCGTAAATTCGAAATCAATTTGCTGTATTCTTATATATCCTTGTGTGGGGTGTACCCTGTTTAGCTCCACTTTCTGTATGTGTGTGTTTTTTGTTTTGTTGGTTTCCTCCTGCCTCTTATATACTGGGAATTTTCTTGTGGATAACAACAAAGAAATTTGGAAGCTGGAAGTAGTGTTAAGCCAAAGGTGCAGGATCCTAGGGAAGTAGATAGTGTGGGGCAGCACTGGCTGGAGTGAAATGGGTAGGAATGCTGTGGTGGGTGCAGTTTGCAGACACCTCATGCAGTGGAGGTGGTGGAGGAGGAGGAGGAGGCAGCAGAAGATGAGAGGTAAAGGAGTTGAAAACAGGTGTTTTGTAAGGAATGATGTTTTTTTTTCTTCCAGTCTGATCATTATGGAAAGGAGAATGTTCTGTAAGAAACTAGGAGATGGTCTTAATACTATGTTTTGTGATGTGATATTCATGTTCCCAGAGCTTCATTTCCATGGGTTCACCCAGGAAATGGCATCTTCTGCTACTGAGGAGCCAGTTCTAGTTTTCCTAAAGTCCTGTGATTGTAGGAAATTGGGAAGTCTATTATGCCACAGTGAACTTGAGTGGAGATGGGGGTGAGATTTTGGCTGCCGTGCCCTCTGTCTCTTTGAAAGAGAACCCATATGAATGGCCTCTAAGCTAGAATATCAACCAAATAGATCTTGTGGATGTGTCATGGCTAACCTGTTGAGAAAGATATAAATCAAAACCATCACACTCTACTAACTTTAGCAATAAAATCAGCCTCACTGAAAAAAGAGGAGGCAGAGCTAAAACAGTCCCTTTCTCTTGATTCATTACAGCCCCTCAGGGAGGGAGAGAACCCAGGTTCATCTCTAAGCAAAGCTCGTTTAGAACGAAAAGTAATATTGAATTGCACTTTACAGTTCTACAGAAAGCTTTCACATATGTGCTATTTTCTCATTTGACAAAGATGAATGATGGGAATGATAAGGCAAAAGGAAAAAAAGCTTTAACCTTAGTGTTGCTTTATTGAAAACTCTACCTCTAGAAGTTACTAGGTTAACAAATGTCCATCTGAAAGTGCTGTTTTCCAAACAATTTTGTCATATCATCTCAAGCATCCCAAGTTTGGGCCTCTCTAGTTCCAGCATATCAGTTGGGAAGATGGGCAAGTTGCTTCCTCTGCACCCCTACCTACCATTCTGTAGTCTTGTTGGTGATCGTCTCTCTGTGTTGGCTCATGTGCATGAAAGACCAGGAATAGGTCTTAGGCTTAAGCGAGAGTTTAAACAGCATGACTAGCACCCAGTTTCTCTTGCTTTCCATCTCTCAGCTCCATCCTAACAGCCTCTTCTCGCATCACCCTAGAGCTACGTGTTTCCAGATGCAAGTGCAGAGGGGAAGAATGTGGATGTGACTCTTTCCCAGAAGACCCAACAGAGATCTCATTGCATCTCACTGAATGGGTCATGTTCTCACCCTGAATCAATGCCTCTTCACTCATTGGCTTAGATCTAAATAAATCAGGAGATTGAGAATAATTCACCAGAGCACATGGGCCAAGTGTAGGGGAAAGGGATGTTCCTCCAGAGGCAAATTAGGGTGGAGTCACCATTGGAAGGATAAACCGATACTGGGCGTCAAAAGCACCAGATGCCCACGCAGTTGTGTAATTATGTAAACATTTGTATTGCTTAGGATTATGAAAATATGGTATTGCTCATAATCTGGCCAAGGTCACACACAGTTAGCATATTGGTGCTACCTGTGGAATAAGATTCAATTTGCTGAATGATTTTTGGCTCATATAGCCAATCTCTGAGGAGGGAGTCTCTGAGACTGTCAGGAAGTCGAAGAAACCGGTTTTAGGATCATTGACTCTTAGACTGGCAGAGCTGAAAGGGATGCTGCTGATCATCCATTCTCTCGCCTCTCAGAGGAAATGAAGTCTGGAGAAGCCATACAGCTTGCTTGAGATCACACACCAAGTTTGTGTGGCCTTGAAAATTGATCATCCATCTTACAGCCTAATGCTCTTTTCAGTAATAAGTAATGATAACATTAATAATAATAGCAGCTAATATTTATTGAATGTTTGCTGTATGTTAGGCAGTAGCCAAGCATTTCACGTGCAATATCTGAGTTAATCCTCACAAATATTTTATTCTCAATTTATTGGAAATTGAGGCACAGAGGGGCTTGCACAATTACCTTCAGAAGCTTCAGTCATCCTTTTCTCGCCTTGCTGTTGTAGACCACACACAGGCTTCTTTTGCCCGTGATGAGCCAGTGCTGATTTTCAGTTTCGTCTTGGATGCAGAAAACTGAGTGAGTGAAGAATGACCTGGTCGGAAAGCCTTTTGTGTGTGCTCATAGGCTTGACTAGGGTGTAGAGTTTGTAATAAGTAAGTTTAAATCTTATTTTTTCAAAGACAGTTTTTAATTTATTGACACTTCTTTAAACAGGAACTTCCAGAGAGTCAATGCAGAGCATCCCACATTATCTACAAATAAATGAAATACTATTAATCAGCGATCAAGAATTTCTCCCATGCCATATAATGGATCAACATTGGAAGTTCTATGTGGAATGTGAGGAGCTAACATTCTAAAGTCTTGTTTTCTTAGTAGCTTATTAGGTTTTTGTTCAGATTATTAACCAACATTCATATTTTATCTTGTGTGGGCTGGTGGACCTGTTTTAACACATACTTTATGAGTTGCTACTTAAGATGTGTGTTTACTGTTATAAGAAAAAATATAACTCTTCAACTATTATAGTAAGATTAATACTTTTTTGCCATTGAAATAAAGGCATTTTGAGTAAACCATATTGGCTCTCAGGCTTTCTTTTTACTAACATAAACTTGAAACTAATCTTTCAATCAACACCTTTACCTTTGTGTAAATAACAGTTGTTCCTTAAGGGAGGTAAGGATACAAATGAGAGTGATAACTGGTCCTGAAGAGGCCTCAGTAAAGGGAATCTACCTCAGACAAGAACTTTGAGTCCAGTAGCTTCCCCCGTTCACTCTGGAATTTATCTTGAAATCAAAATGTAAAATTACGAAAGAGGTTTATTTTAAGTTTTATAAAAGTTAGCATAGATAGAATTGTAACTGTGCTAAGTCTTAGAACAAAAAATGAATCATGTTGATTTGGAGGCTGATTCTTTTAAATAGGATGTACTTCACCTTTGACTTCTGCTACATTGTCATGAAGATTTTATTTTTTTAAAGAAAGAGCTGTATTCAAGAGCTTTATAGGTTTTCTCAAGGTCTGTCTGGTTTTTTTTGGTGGGGGGGGAAGATCAGCCCTGTGCTAACATCTGCCAATCCTCCTCTTTTTTTTTTTTTTTTTTTGCTGAGGAAGATTGGCCCTGGGCTAACATCTGTGCCCATATTCCTCTAATTGTATGGGACGCCACCACAGCATGGCTTGCCAAGTGGTGGATTGGTGCGCACCCAGGATCCGAACCGGTGAACCCCGGGCCGCCGCAGCGGAGTGCGCGCACTTAACCGCTAGCGCCACCAGGCCAGCCCCTCAAGGTCTGTGTTAATCGTTTGATAGCCATCTTATTCTTTACTTATTTTTCAGGCTCCCAAATAAGCTTTTTGACTCTGTGGCCTAATTCTATCTCTTCTCTCTCGTTTGGGTAGAGAAGTCAAAATTGGAATAAAAATTACTCTAGCAAGTGCCAGAATTTTAGGAAGAGGAGAGATATGGTTTTGCTTTTTTGATATTTTCTTATTTTAAGTGTATAGAACCTTTTTTTTGTTTTTGAGGAAGATTGGTCCTGTGCTAACATCTGTTACCAATCTTCCTCTTTTTCTTTTTTTTTCCTCCCCAAAGCCCCAGTGCATAGTTGTATGTCATAGTTGTAGAGTTGTAGCTCTTCTATGTGGGATGCCACCTCAGCATGGCTTGATGAGTGGTGAGTAGGTCTGCGCCCAGAATCCGAACCAGCGAACCCTGGACTGCTGAAACGGTACGCGCAAACTTAACCGCTATGCCACCCCACCGGCCGGCCCCTAGAATCTTAAATATCTTTAGAATATACAAGAAACTGGTTAACAGTTGCCTCTGGGGAGAAAAATTATGGCTCAGGGGAACTGAGAGGAGAGGAAGACTTTTAACTACATGTACCCTTGGGCAGCTTTTGAAATTAATTCTATGTGTGTGTTCTTTCTATTCAGATAGAAGTTTTAAATATCTGAAAAGAAAGCACCTGGAAAGATTTGCCTAATAATAAAAGTGTAAAGACATATCGGATCATTTTATCTTTCTTCCTTTGAGAGTCCACTGAAAACGTTCAGGACAGAATGACCCTATGTGTTATGATGTTTGAGAACTGACAAGAATTTTTTATTTCATTATCATTTTCTTAGACTACCTATTTTTCTAAATCTTGAATGATCTATGTGAGGCGGTCTATTTGGCTTTTATTATTTAATGAGATATTTAAAACATGGGCCATTAGGAAATATACATATAACATAGAAAATTGTATATATAAGTAAGGGAAAAAATGCAAATTGTTAGACAATGTTTAATATAAATCCTGGTTGTGTTAAGTAAATAAAAATTATATGCCTTTGAATGCATGTGTAATGTATATAACCATATAAGTATACATATATTTTTGTGTGTATGCCATATATACTTTATAAGCTATGAAATGTGTATTTGTACATAGAAGCGTGTATGTGGGGTTGGGGCATGTGGAGTGAAAGGTCTGGAATGCCAGAGATAAGACTGTTTGCAGTGTCTGTCCCTGAGGGAGCTGGACTGGAGAGGTGGAAGGATACTTCTGCAGTTTACTTTCCAGTTAAAAAAAAATAGACTTATATTTCTTTTGTAATTTAAAAAAGATTTTTAAAAGAATAACTTAAAAAGCAGGTATTTTGTTTGGTGATTACAGTTTACAGAAGTCATACATTCTGTGTTTATGTACAAGAAATCTTGCAATTCTAAGTTTCCATTTTAGTGATCAAATTCTTAAACTTAATTTTCCAAGCCCATTTAAAATTTTATATGCCAGCTGGTAGCTGACATAACACCCAGTGCCCTAGAGGCATGCTGAATATTGCCCAAACTAAACAACAAAAGGGTGTACTCCAACCAGGGTTAGGGTCCAGACAGTTACCTTACCCCGGATCGTCCTATGAGAAGACTGGACAATTTGGGGTGTTTGCTAGATGTTTTGCCTATTCAGGGTTCTAAATGAAACCCAGGGTCAAGCTTCTGACACTAAGCCATATAAGGGACCTCCAAGAATATCTGATAATCCAGTCTTCTACCTGATGTTTGCATCCTTTCTATAAAGCTAACTTCTTGAACACCTCTCGGATAATACTCCATAGCCAACAAGGAAGCCTGTTCCATTTCAGACAGGTAGTCCTAAGTGTTAGAAAGCTGGAGCCTCAATATCCCAGGCCTCACAACCCTGTTACGACAAAATAATACTTCTTTTTAAGTCTTGAGTTATTGTGGCCCAAGCTCCCACTGGCCTGGTTGCTGGGGATGTCTGAGCACACATCTTGTCCTTTTCTCCTCAGTCTCACTCAGTCCCTTTGAGTGCCCCTCCTGAGTTGGGTCCTGTCGGGGCCTGTCTAGACTGCGTGCAACAGCAGTCCTATCCCATTTCTCTCACCTCAGTTCTCGCCCTTATAAAAACCCAGGGCACACTATGCCAGATTCTTAAAGATCTCTTGTACCTCCCTGCCGCTGCAAAAGTGAGATCCAGGCCCCCCAGTCACAGCCCTGCTCTCTGGTCCCAGCGTAACCTCCAGCCTTGTCTCCCAGTCCTCTCCAATCTTTGACCCACTCTCAGACTCCTTGTCATCCCGGTGATGGGCTGAATTGTGTCCCCTCACAATTCATCAATTCAAGTCCTAACCCCCAGCACTTCAGAATGGCACTGTTTTGAACTGGGGCTTTTAAAGAGGTGATTAAGTTAAAATGAGGCCATTAAGGTGGGCCCTAATGCAATCTGACTGGTGTCCTTACATGAAGACATTTGGACACACGAAGGGACACCAGGGTGCACAGGTAAAACACCATTAAGGTCGCAGGAAAAGGCAGCCATCCGCAAACCCAGGAGAGAGGCCTCAGAGTGAAATCGGCCCTGCTGACTCCTTTTTTTTTTTTTTGATTTTTTTTTTTTATAATTTTATTTATTTATTTTTCCCCCAAAACCCCAGTAGATAGTTGTATGTCATAGTTGCACATTCTTCTAGTTGCTGTATGTGGGACGTGGCCTCAGCATGGCTGGAGAAGTGGTGCGTCGGTGCGAACCCGGGATCTGAACCCGGGCCACCGGCAGTGGAGCGCGCACACTTAACCGCTAAGCCACGGGGCTGGCCCCCTGCTGACTCCTTGATCTTGTGCTTCCAGTCTCCAGAACTGTGAGAATAACATCCAGACGCTTACGCCACCCAGTTTGTGGTATTTTGTTATGGCAGCCTTGGCAAACTGATACCATTCCAACTCCCCCCTACATTTATTCGCACTGGCTGGAATGTTCCCCTCCCTAGGATGTGCCCTCTGCCCATCTATGTTTTCCTTTGAGCCCTTTCCTCATAGATGATCTGTGTGGCTTTCTCAGACCACCCCGATCCAAACACTTCATGTTTACTGCGTGGTATTATTGGTTTTCTTTTCATGGCTTGTCTCCCCAAGTAGCTAAAAAACTTGTCAAGATCAGCTTTAGGGTTTTACACTTTGTATTTCCTATAAAATATCTCAAACATATGAGATGCTCAAGAAATACCCATCAGTTGGGGTGTTTTCAAGTACAGTAACAGAAAATCCTACTCAAAATGGCTTAAACAATAAGGGAAATTTATTGTTTCATGTAACAAGTCCAGAGGTAGGCACTTCAGGGTTGGTTAATTCTTCTACTTGACAATGTCATCATTGTTTCCATCTTTCTTCCATCTCCCTTTACAGTCTCAAGATGGCTCTGCTGTTAGAGGCAGGTGTACATGCAGGAACAGCATCGTTAGAAGAAGGAAAGAGGGCCGGCCCCGTGGCTTAGCGGTTGGGTGCGCGCGCTCCACTGCTGGCAGCCTGGGTTCGGATCCCGGGCGTGCACCAACGCACCACTTGTCCGGCTGTGCTGGGGCGGCGTCCCACATACAGCAGCTGGAGGGATGTGCAACTATGACATGCAACTATCTGCTGGGGCTTTGGGGAGAAAAAGGGAAAAAATAAAAATTAAAAAAAAAAAAAGGAAAGAAACATTTTCTTCCAGTGCACATCTTTTAAGAAACCTTCCCTGAACACCACCACCACTCCAGGAAATTGTGTCTCATTGCCCAAATTGTACCACCTGCCCGTTCCTAAATCAGTCATAGCCAGGGAAGTGGGGCTACCTTGATGGGCTGAGAAGTAAGTACATGCCTGTGCGCAGGAGAGTAGCCAGCTGTCCAGTCTCCAGACTCTGCCAGTAAAAAACACCATGTGTGAGGGGGTAAGAGCTAATATTTATTGAGCACTCAATATATACCGATCGTTGTTATAAGCATTCTCAATGTATTACCTGATTTAATCCTCACCACACCCTATGAGATAGGAAACATTATAATTCCCATTTTATAGCTGAGGAAACTGAGGTACAGGATGAAGTGACTTGGCCCACAGTCACACAGCTACCAAGTGGTGAGCTGGGATTCAAACCTGGT